CTGATGCTCTAAGGCATTGAAAACAGGCAGATCAAAATAGTTTCTTCACACTTGCTAGCCTGCGAGTCTTCAAGACCTGACACACAGCTTAGAGGAGAACTGGGTGCCATCAGCAATTAACTGCATCTGATAGCTACATACAATGGCATTAGAAAAATAACATCACACGAGAAAACCAGCTTTACTTGTCATGGCCTGATGAGGTACAAACAGTCTGGGAAATTTCTTGGTTCATATCTGTGGGGGACTGAGTCACATGAGAGAAGTTTCATCATGGTTGAGTAAAAGGTATTTTGGGTAGGTAAAAATAGTCTGAACATGCCATCTCTGTCATCACCAGGGAGCTCCGAATCCAAGGAAAACATTCAGAAGTAACCATGGAGCATCATTAAAGATGAGTCAGTAACAGACAATTCTTGGGAATTTACAATAAAAATCATGCAAAAAGCGACAATGATGTTGTCAATTATACCTCCATTACAGCTGCAACCCACTCTTACTCTCCTGCCTTCACTATATATTTTCATCTTCTACAGTGACGATCATTCTGCAGACTTCAGACAGTTTCACAAGCTCTGATGCCTTCAGCCTTCAGATACGTGGCTGTATGAAATGGGTGGACAAACACAGCTATCTGTGCAAAGCAAGCAGCATGACTTCTTTGGGACAGAGATAAGCTCTGTCAGAACTGAGCAAATAAACAGGAATCCTTCTGGTATCCTCCCTTCTCAGGAAAGATGGCATTACTAGGGATAGCGTAGATTAGATACATCAAATAGCATCCCTGAGGAAAGGCAGAATGCATTTAGAAGGCACAATGTGAAAACCATGTCCTATGTTCTATTTCTGTCATCTAAAGGCAAAGCACAGCATGAATGGTTACTGAAAGAAAATAACCACCGCTAAGCGAAAGTACATTTTTCACCTAACTAATCTAAAGATTTCAAAGCCATAGGAAAGCCGGACATCAGTTACCAGAACAGGCATTCTAAGGAGAGCAAGAGAAATTAATTTTGTCTTGCAACACAGTTTTCTACTGCAGCAAGAGGTGTGGAGTTCATATTTCACGGTCATCAAAATGACTAAGAGCTGCTCAGGTTCACTTGCTCAGCACTGACATCTGTCATTATAGTTTGTTGCTTTCTAAAGCATCGTATACAGGCCACCGTCAGCAGACATCCCAGATAAGAAAATGTGAGATGAACTCCATACCAATGTCACAACCCCGTTTCACTGCCAACATGGAGACAAGCTGTTGGAAGTATACACATCTAGAGTATAGCATAATTTAAGCTTTCCATTGAGGGAATGCAAATGGAACCTCTGCAACAGAGCACTGCTTCCCAGGAGAGATACTGAGAAGAAAGAAAGATCTATGCATGTTCTGCACCAGTGAGGAATTTTGTACAGCTTCGTTATTCAGTGAGTGCCTTTTAAATTACTAGTCATCAGTTTAGTTCAAGACCTACTTACACAGTACGACATTCACCTTTAAAGAGAATTATATGCATATGGTTGATACTTTATTTGTATTCTAATCAGACATTGAAAGCACATGCAGGGGAAAGCCTTATGCTTGCTTTCTACATTAGTGCAGATTAAGCCCACCATCTCCTGACCCATACATACGTGAAAGAATATTAATAAAGGAAACATTTTCAACAAAGGATTTCATAGTCAGGTGAGTTAACAGTTGGCAAAACAACATCTAAAGGGAAAGACAAACACCTAGCCCAGCAAATGCTGTTAAAGTGGGTGTGTGCACTAAAGAAACATGTAGCAACAAGGGATGAAGGAAGCTAGAGAGCATTCATCCTACATCCAAAGATCTAAAAGGAGCTCTACCCCCTGGCAGCATAACCAGAAAGTTTACATGGAGAAGGATTTGCAGAGCTGCCCATCACAAATCAGTTGGAAAGGAATTGCTTTAATTACAGTTATCCACTAGGAACTGACGGCCATTTTTGCTGAAAATATTACATCAGTAATTAGAATACCTAAATCAGTATGCCAGTAATTACATCAGCATACCTAAAAAGGTGAAGAAAAAAAATCCCCCAACACAAAGATCTGGCATGCAATTTTTCCTACAGGGGAACATGAGCAGAAGACGGGAAGTGCAAACCAGTCTTTCAGAAAGGCTCAGACAGTTCTGTTTATGACCAAACCTCTGTTTTGACTTCATCTGCTTCCCCAGATGACCACCACTGAAGATCTTTACCCAAATATTCATACTTGTAGCCTCATTTCTTACATCTTCAGTGCTTGAAATGCATTCCCTTTCTTAGGATAGATAGCACAAGGTAGGTTAAAAAAGCAGAAAGCATTGCAGCTGTGGAAGATAATGAAAATATTCTATGCCCCTGGGTAGAAAATACTTTTACCAGCCCAGGTTTCACTGGGTAATGAGCTAAACAGTTCTGTCCATAGCTGTAGGAATCAAGAGGTACCAACAGAAGCAGTATCTACAGATCCTAGAAAGCTATATTTACAATCTCTCTGCTTGCTGCGCATGCTGAAACTTGCCTTGCCACGACATATGCAGGAGGACATGACATAGCATTATTACCAGGTCCAAATTTAAAGCTGCTATTGAAAAGACAGAGATGAAGCTGTAAACGGACAGCTCATTTCCAGTAGTACTTGTTTATAGAACAAGGCTCGTAAGAGCTATTTGAAATTAGAGTAACAAAGTATTAACTTAAAATATCAGGTACCTATTGAAGTTGGAAGCAGAAGAACCACAAGATTCCCAACAAGTAATTAAACAAATACAAAGCCTTGGAGACTGTTTCTTGTAGTGGCCACATTCCAAGGTTTTTGTTTCTAGTTTTGGAAATCTGCTTCTCTTCTCAGGGCTGCAAGGATGCATTTTGGTCCTTTCTGTACCATAAAATTAATTCCTGCTTTCACTGTGAATGTGATAGCCTATTATAAACAGGCAGTGAAAACAATCAAATATATGGGTTGGAGTATGGAAGAGAACAGAAAGAGAAATCTCCAGTGTGATTTACCGCCCAACAAATGCAATGATTCACCACGGTAATTTCCTGTTTGCAGTAGGCCAAATTCTCCCACCTATACAAGTGTTGAGTAGTTCCTTAAATGATGCCTCATCCTACTGATTTGAACAGTACCATTTACAGCATAACATACTGTTTCATGTCACTAAGGAACTGGACCCTGGCTGCAGCTTGTTTTAGACTCATGCAGTCAACAAGGCAAAGCAGGTGAAACAGAGGAAAATATTTACCAAAGCAGAGCAGAATGTGTCCTTAGTTAAAAATAGACACTCTTTGTGGCTGTCCCAATGTCATAAAGGTAAATAACCTTTTAACTTCTACAAGATCTTTTAACAAACCATTTCCCTTAAGCAAACTGGTCACAATCCACTAAGGAAGAAACTGGAATATTGGCTCCCTACACCTCTATAATTGGTGACCATGACCAACAGAGCCCTGAGGATTCCACAGGAATAAGAGAGAGTTGCCTTGCCCTTGTTAGCTGGAATCATGGGCAGCTGTGCAAAGATCTAGATGCTTTAGCCATGCCTCTCCCCTGTGCATTCATATTTTTTCAGATCTAAATGCAGTAACACTACTAGATAGTAAGAGATCTGTGGGGCAGGGAGCCATGTAATAGCCTTCCCAGTGCACTGCAGATTGGTTCATGATTCTACGCTTGTTCTACAAGCATCTCCTGGCTTTGATCAATACCTAAATAATTCTTTCAACATCTCTGAGTTCATTTGGAGTTCTTATGCACAGAGAAAGTGGGAGACAGAGGACTGTGCAGGTCTGTAGAGAGGAGTTATTACCCAGTTTAAACTATACGTAACATAGTTCTTTTAACTTGCTCCAGAAAGTCTGGCTGCTTTCTGCTCAGACTGATATATGATGATTCTGCTTGGGAGTAAAGCTGGAATGCTTTCCAAGACACAGATGAGGAAGCTGCTGTATTTGATAAGCATTGTAATCTTTTTCCAAACTAGGTACTTGAGAGAAATATCTGCTTATTGAGCTGAAATGGCATAGCCACAAGTAGGATTGTACAATCAAACATATTTCCCAGGGTCATGAGAATGGAGTTTAAATCTGGTACTGAAGCCTCCTTGTGACAAGGAAATAGACTTCCTGTAAGAAGAGAACCCCTCCAGATAGATTCTTAATCCTATTGCGTTTTAATAGTTGCACCTGTCACAATATTTAAGAATCCTTCCTTGCTAAAAAAGCAAACAAATGAACAAAAAAAAGCAAACCCCCACACAAACAGAAACAATATTATCCTTAATGGACCACACAGCACTTCTCTCCCTTCACAGATTCCAAGCTCTGCAGATTGTAGGGGATATCTTTCCTTAGGTGAAATTTCATGTTTAAGGGAAGATTATTTATTTTTGCTTCATGAAGGTTGTGAGCAATAGGTCCTCTTACACAGCCTAGGAAAAACAGCTTTTTTTTTTTTTTTTTGAGAACAGAATTCACAAAACATTTACTTCAGGATCAGTTACTGGTTTGCACAATCCTGTCAACTGGTCTAAGTCAGAGGTTGCTTTCCCCTACCCTACTCATGGCATTTGCAGTAAATCAACCAGAGTTTAATTTTTCTGGAAAAATATTTTTCAACTTGTACTCAATCTCTTCTTGGGAAAAGTTATTTCTTCATCAGCTGCTGCAGATTGTTGGGAAAGAGGGTGGGGCCTTCCCAGGCTGACGTCCTTAAAGCCATACCTGAGTATAAAGAGCAAGGGAGAACTGCAGCCAACTCTCAAAAGCTGTTTCCAGTGACTGCTGGGATTCTAAGGCTGGCTTTTTTTTCTGCAACAACTTGCTGCTAAAAAGAGAAGAGGGAAGCTGGACCCAGCTCATAGTGGCTAATTACACTGGGGAATTATATACAATTACCATGTTCTCAATGTGAAACTGGATTGATTTTTTTTTTTTTAAAAACACAACCAAATAAGTGTTTTCCTCTCATCTTTTTCTACACACACAGTGGTAATGTTGCAAACAGTCTGCATGAGTCCTGAACTACTGGTCAATCAAAACATCAGTGAAAATGAAATCTGTGGCTATAGCCCAGGCCAGGCATCTCCACTGCCTGGAGAAACTGCCAGTCCTAAAAGCTATTTTCAACAGAGCCCATCGTTACCAGACTCTGGATTAACTGAACTTAATGTTGCGAGTCTCAAGATCTACCCTCCTCCTTCACGTAAACCTCAAGAGATGTCTTCTCCCACTGGTAAGATCAGATCTTTATTCATATTTTCTATTTTATGCAATGCTCTTATGCTTCTTTTGCAAAGTGATAAAGTACCCTGACTTGCAACTCCTTTTGTGCTAGCAGAGAGCTGTACTAAGAGCAGCTCACACTAAGTTTCTGTGGCAATAATATCGAAGACGTACGGCACACTCGCCTACTCATGTCTTGTTTTTATTTCGTTGTGGTCTACTGCTTAAGTCAGAAATTACTCTGTTTTCTAAAGGATGCTCAATATTCCATCATTTCTGTTTATCTCTAGCATTTTGCTGCTCATTTACATTCTGAATTGCAAGTCGGGTTTGAATCTAACAGCAATGTTATAGTTATTAACATTATAGGTCATATGAAAGTATGTTTGGTGAATCATTGCCTTTGGCAAGTTCTTCAATTTCAAGGAGTCATCTGGGCATGTAATCTGATCAATCATATAGCATTTTTACTGTAAAATAGCTTGAAAGATAGTAATATATTAGTAATATATTAGGTTAAATAAAGCTTTTCAGAGAGACTTTTAAAATACTGTAAATAGAGTAAATAATTCATTGTCAAAACATGAGTCTAAAAAAGGAATTATTCCCATTTCTAGAGCAGTGAGAGAAACAATTTTTTGAGATTCCAGCGTTCTAATTATTCAGCGATAGGTTAAGCATTTAGAGATGCCAGAAATCTGAGCACAAAATGGTAATTCAATATATATTCAAAATACACTATCTGCTACTTGGGATTCAATGCCCTCCTGGTGAAGGGGTGTCAGTCTCTCCTTGCCTGGAGCAGGGAAGAGAAACAATATCATGCAACTAGAACCCACATCTTGTGTGGCTGGTTTCCATGCCCATATTGCCTACTCCGAGACATCCCAAGTTCAGGGAGGTGCACCTTTCCCATTGTTGAGCTCCCACAGTTCTCCTCCGCAGGAGTTAGCCAGCCAGACTCCAGCAGCTGCTACAGAGTACACACACAGATTTCAGTCAAGGAGGAATATTGGTGTTGGTACACACACCCCAGGTTTTACTTAACACTGACTGCTCCTGTAATAGAAACTGCTTGCCCAGGCTGCATACACCTTTTTCATTTCAGGCTGCTGTGTTGTTTAATCATAAGTGTGTTTAATCACAAGTGCAGTTTTCATTCTGCATGCCATGAGCTGCGGCTAGGAAGAGAAGCTTCTCTCTGCTCCAGCAAGCATTGCTGCTGGATGACTCCTTATACTCAGTAGCCCACGCTCTGACTCCCAACACTTGGGTGTTGTTTGGAACAGTGGCCTTCTATATGGTGTATTTTATGTGCTAACCAACTGGGAAGACCCTGAACTAATGCAATAAAGCCATCATTTTATAATGACAATAGCTGTAACTGAATTAATTCTATACCAATGAAGATTATTCTCAGGGGAATGGGGAGGGGTGGGGGAGGGGCGCAACAACGGGGGCCACAATGTTACATAAAAGGTATTTCAACAGCAAGGTATTTAAGCTCCTAATCTGGGCAAGTCTTTCAAGTTTGGGGATTCAAGTACAAGATGCAAGATGACTTGACACAAACAATTACAGAGCTGCTTGTTTTGACGGAAACAAGCTTGTTTGGACAACCATATATATTCTCAAAAACCTATTTCATTTCACTACAGAAATGATTGCTTCCCTTTGAATCACACCACATTGTCTTCCAAACACACCAGTGGAGGAAGACATTGGATGTAGCATCACTATCTCATTTCTGAAACAATTCTGTTCCCTATTGTTCCACTGATATCAATACAACAAACCACAGGACAGGAAACTGCAAAGACAGATTTACTGCAACAGATGAAAATTAGAATATGACTAAGAGGGTCAGTAATCTAAACAGTGTTGACGTTCTCCAAAAGCAATCACGTGCTTTAAGTCAGGATGACACCCCTGAGCTGAAGGGCACCAAGAAAAACTGCCCAGGGCCAAGTATCAACATTGTACGTTTATTTCTGCACCACCAAAAGGTCTAAACCAGAAACATCTGACTTATTTTCCTTCTTTTTCCCAAACATCCATGCAAATTTCCTTCTGCATCGCTACCCTGCTCCTGCTGTCCTCTTTCTAGCTTCAATGGCACATTTATACTTGGGACAGTTTCTCCTCTTCCTTCACTCAAAACTGAAACCATCCCTGCACACTAAAATTTGATCATGGCCTTCACATGGTAATTTGCAGGTTAACTCAGCTCTCTGCTTATGCCTCAGACTGAAGATCCCACAGCCAGCTTTGGGATTTGCTTTTGTCTGGTTTCTTAAGAAAAGAATTCCCTTTGTGAGGCCCCACAGTCCGTGGTAGCCTGAGAAACAACACGTTAAAGCAGTTGTTAAGCAGGAAGTAGGCCGGAGCTAAGGAACATGTAGGGTGATGTGGAAATTTTCCACAATTGATGATGAACATCAGAATCACAGGCCATCTCTCAGGGTTACCTCATCCTCCCACTATTCTGTAACAGCTCAGAGAATTATGTTACTTGAAGCATCATGTTATGACTTTTCCAGACTCCGGACTTAGCTCTGATCCCCCTCAGAAGCGCTACATGGGTGTGAGAGTAAAGATGCCAGTACGGGAATTACTGAGAAAAATCCGTCTTTCCAAAGGCCTGGACCCAGATCACAGCAAGGTGAGGACTCCTCTTGAGTTTAGAAAAGTTGCTCCCAAAGGTGTAGCATCCTGATGTACACACATCACACTCCAACTCTACCAATGTTCTAGAGAGGTTATACCTACAGTCACTGCCCTCTTCCATCCACCAAATTGATGTTTTTGATGAAGGTGGAGAATATACCAGATTTTAAATGGGATGAGGGCCTGTGCTAGGAACGTTACTAAGACAGTGACAGCAAGAACCCATTTGTGCCCTGGATACTATAAGTCATGTAATCAAGCCAAAGATGGCCCAAGACCCAATAACAATTTTGCTCTAGCAGCCTGGTTTTCTCAACAACCTGCAAAAACAGCCCAAGAAGATGGTGGACTCCCAGATACCTGCTCTGTTGTAAAGATCTTTATAAGGCTGCTATGAATTACCCACTCATGAAAATTTTTTCACCTGCAATCTCTGCTGTGTAAAGTACATAGTGCAGGACACAATTTACTTTGTTCATGTTACAATATTTGTCACTGTTTCATCTTCTCTTACTTGCAAGCATCTCAAATTGAGTTGGGTGGTTTTTGTCTCCTCAGGAAGCCTCATTAATGAAGATGGTAACCAAAGGATCCTCAGGAAAAACAGGTTAGGAAACTCCTCTCTTGGTAACAGAGCCTCCTTTTCTAGTAGGATCATCACTGTTAGGTACCCAAAGAGCTGGACCACTTCCCTCCCATGGTCCGTGACCCATGCTGGTTCCTAGCTCCCCTTAAATTACAGGAGCAGGCAAGCTGTGCATTACTACCATGTGTATGTCATATAGGGAAAAATTTCTGATGAGAATATCTTCTGTATGTGTGTGTCTGCCCCCCCTCAATAGCTTATTTCCTCCTTTCTTTCCAACAGAAAAGAGAAGAGTTCACCCTTATACAGAGAAACAGCTTAGACAGGTATGCATAACACCTTCAACTCTGTGCTGCCAGCCTCCTCAGGCATATTTCATGTTATATCATTGAGTGAGAACAGGACACTTCATGTCTGATTTCCCTCCCCCATCTTCTGCCCTCCCCATTTTTGTTGCTGTTTCAGAGCAAGCAGAGCGTTGGGCAAACACTAAAAGGCTTAGAGGACCTTGATATCCTGGTGGAGGTACTGCAGGAAGATTTGAACAAAAGCCAGTTGAAGAAGGAGTCTCTGCATTCTGTGCCAGGTGGCTTTTGGCAGAGCTTCTCCACAGATCTACAAGCCTCTTGGTGGGAAACTGGAGGACGAAAACAGGCAGCTGGTGGCCTGCAAGAAAGGCGCCACAGCTTAACCAAGTTGCGTTCATATTGCTGTTTTAAAGATTTCGACTCAGTATTGAGGGGAGAGATAGACACTTCTTTTCACGATGATCAGAAAAACATGCAAGAGTCCAACTCACCAGGAATATTCTCAAGGACAAGTGAGAAAGAGAGTAGCTGGTGGATACAGGATGCATGTACAAGTACCCAGAAAGATTTCCCAAGGCATTCTTCACAGAACACGTCTCCACACTATAGCCCATCAGGAGGCTGTTCAGAGGTGCTTCTGAGAGCTGATACAGACTCTCCAGACATTGAGGGACATTTGAAGTCGACCCCAATGTCTTTCACACAGCAGGATCTCTCTGCTATCTCTTTCTTCCAGTTCCAGCTACACAGGGAAGAAAGCTTACTGAGAAATATCCCAGCGGACAAACTGCTTGCACCTGATGAAAATGGCAACAGGTCTCCCAATTTTTCTGTTGAAATATATTGATTTCTATTTCTTGGGGCATCAAGGGCTGTCCTGAGGCTTTACTCCAACTTCAACTGCTAGTTTTGGGCACACCTTTAGCAAAGGCTTCCTTGCCTAATGGGAAACTCAAACTTGCCTCAGTACACACATTTTTAGGTAGACAGTAAAAATAGAAAGATTCCGCATTTGCAGTAGTATTTCCAAACTACAGCTGACATCAGGACAAATTCAGAGTATTAGCAATATTAAAGACTGAGTTGTATATATAGGTATTCACAAGAAAACTAAAATCAAGGAAAACAAGTAATTGCTATTGAAAAAAAAAGATATGCAAAAGAGAACATCTCCATGCTGCAGACACTTTCAGGATAATTACTTGTATTATTAGCTGTAATAAAACAGGGTGGGAGGATTACACCAAAACATGCATATGCTGCTAGTCTAGAGCATAGACTTCCAAAGAACTGGGAGTGGCTGTTTTGTTAGAAATGAAATGAAAGCAAAGGTTTTACTGATCCCATTTTCCTTAGAATGGCAAGCTTATAGAGAAAATAGCAGTTTATGAAAAAAAAAAAAGTCTTATTGGGTTCCATACAGTTCAGCTAGTTTGGGGAAGCTGGTATCAAATCAGATTGACAGAAAGCATAACAAACTTATAAACAGTCCTAGTCTTGGTGGGAAAGAGATTAATTCCATATAGACAATCCTGTTCCAAATTTAAAGTATTTATAAACCACACAGGGAAAGCTAAACACAGCACTATCAACTTCCATGAAGTACCGTGTTCCATTCAGAATAATGATTTTCAGTGCAATAATAAAATTACAGACTTCGCTTTTCAGCAGTAATGTAACTGTTACAGGATTACTATAAGCCACCCACTACCTTTTCCTGCATATTTTTTAAACAATACAGAAAAAATTCTGACCTGAACAAAATTAATCACAATTAAGAAATTAAGACTTTTTACTACCATGTTTATTTAAAATTCACAGCAGCCCACTTACCTCTATGAAATATTTTAACATCAGATTACATGCTGAAAAGAACCTATGAACGCAGGTCTACACACAAAATAAGCCAACTCTGAGTGCTACTGAATGGTGAACAATATCAGTTACCTTGTCAAAAACCCACAAAAGGCTCCCCAGAAACAGCAATAAATGTCAGTTATTCAGACATCTTCAAGGATATCATGCTACAAGACAAGGGGAAATAAATAAATAAATAAAATTGATGCCTGCATTATTTTTCCCTCCAGGAAGACAGCAAGACATGCCCAAATTTACAAGGAAAAAAAAGAAGTCTCTTTTTAGGATGAAATTCAGGAGAAACACTTATCCTGAGTAGTTCAGTGAGACTGAATACAGAGAAGAAATTAAGCTTCACAGAGCTGAATTAAAAGAAAGAGAAGTATTAGAAGTATTAAAAGAAAAGAAGTATTTCCGAACTGTAAGTGCAAGAGGAGGGTTTCCCTTCTCTCTTTTAGGTATCTTACACTTTTTCCTGTACTGAAGAACACTTTAAAAAAGGAGGAGAAAATAGAGATTGTTAGCAAAAAGGAATCATGGAGCAGCTCCTGGAGAGGAGAGAAATGGCATAATAGCAAGAAGAGAGGACCAAGAAATCCTGGCAGACAAAATCAGCAACTCCATTTTTAATACAGAGACTAAGTCAATTAAACACTTAAATATCCCAAGATTTTGGCATTTGCGACCTCAACATTTCATGCTTTAAAATACATTCTCACTGTTACTTCTGAGTATTTTAACCACTGGTTTATCTTCTAATTGTTTAAAACTGTGTTCTATTCCAGGCTGCTGCACAAGGCTGTCGCTCAGGGAAGAAGAGCTCTGACTTACGCACTTGCACAGAGATTTGCATCCCTAAATAAGATCAATGAGAAGGATGCAGAGAAACGGGTAGGGTGCTAACTTGCCAAGAATAGGGTCATTTTCTATCACATGCAAACACCTTTCAAACCCCAGTCAAGCACCAAGCACTTTTTTGGACAAGGTGTGGTTGCTGTCCTCGCAAAGAGAGGAAAACAGAGAGTAAAAGATCTATGTAGAGCAAGTATTAGCATAAAGGGGAATAGAACACAGAGACCCAACCCTCCACCTCATTCTCTAACAAGTGCTGTTGTTTTAAAACTATTTTTGCCTTTCACAACGAGTTTCTCCCATTCTTCTCCTCTTAGACTGCATTACATCTTGCTGCAGAAAAGAACCAACATCTGATGGTGAGTGACCTGATATCCCTAGGAGCTAATGTCAATGAACAGGACAGTTTTGGGAAAACTCCACTCCACCTGTGTGCAGAGAATGGATATCTGAGAGTTTTAGAGGTAAGCTGGTCATTTATGTTGTACAAAGACATGTGCAAAGGTAGAGCAGACACAATAAATGCACATCCTTTTGCTTAAAATATACAAGGGTTTTCCATACCTGAATATTAGCTTTGGTGTGATGTGATGAAGGTAAAATGGAGCTGGGTGAGGAGGGGGGTATTTTGGCCCTGCCAAAAATCAGGACTTATCTCAATCTTCTTCACTTCAGGTTTTGAAAAATTGCAAAGACAACGGCATGTGTGTGGAAGTGAATCTGACTGACCATTATGGTAAGAGGAAAAGCTTAACCACATAGATGCTTAGTGTAGACTCCAACAGTTTCAGACTACAGATTTTAGGTAGGCCAAAGAATGTTCAATTTCATGTCTAAAACTAAAAGATCTAGGAGGAGAGCCAGTCTTAAAAGGACACCCCCTCGTGATTAGCCAAGTGTGGGGTGGTTTCCTCCAGTGAGGTGTTCAAGCACTAGATTTGTTTGACTTTTCTGTGGTCTGTTCTGTTCAGGTTTAACACCGCTACACTGTGCTGCTTTTGCCCACACTGTCTTAGTTACGGAATCCCAAAAAACTGACACCGATACTGACTTGGGAAGGTTTCTCAGGCTACGCAAAGATCAAATTCTTGAGGGAATTAACTGCTTATTACAAATGGGAGCAAAGCCTGAGTTGCAGGTGAGGACTAGCAGCAGGCTGTTTATTGTGGCCTTAGGTTTTCTTATTCTTTTGCAATCATGCGTTTCACTGTCATTTGCAGGTACTAAATTCATGTCAAATTGCCACTACCTGTTTAAAAATTGAGGATAACACAGAACTCATGTGTTTGCTTCAGAATCATAAACTTAAGGGGCAGAACGTTCTTCAAGAGGTAACTATCTATAGCTACTTTTATACAAACTCTAGCATTTGTACCCAAGAAACTAAACGCAGTAATGTAAGCTTTACCATCTTGTAAACCCAGTAGATGAGGCTCCCAGCATGCCTTATCTTGCATGGGGCAGAAAATCCCCTTTTCAGGGAAAAAGCACTATACGAGCTCTTCCCACACTTGGTCCCATCCCAGCTCTAGCTGTATTTGCTATAATTTAGAGCAGTCCAGTTGCGTGGAGGTGCTGCCAGCATACTGCTCACACCTGTCCCCAGTCCAAACTCCTCTTGGCAACAGTACCTTCACTTCCAACATTTTGCAGCACACCAAGCCAGACAGAGGTATCTCAGAAACAACACCAGGGGAATTCTTCCTCTACTGATAAAGGAATGCTACAGGCCCAGGTATTGCCACTATATTCAATCAGCTTCAGCAGCTTCTTAAAAGATAAAAAACTCGTTTTCTTTGTCCCTTAGCACACACATTCAACACCAAAACTACCCAAAACCCTACATTACTGGGCCAAAAGATAACCAGATTATCCAGTAGGTATCGGCATCTCTCGCTAAATTTTTCATGCTGGGAACAAGACACCAACACCAGAAAGCAGAAGCTTGAGTGCTTAACAGAGGACTAAGTTTCTAGGGTGAAATTCTGCTCTATTGAAATAATGCAATATCCACCATAGATTAAAGTATTTTTATCCAAGATTAAGCAAATATTCAGTGCTTAAACGTTACAGCCCTTTTACCTTTTCTACGGTCTTTTTTGAGTCTGTCAAATAAGAGTTCCCACCAGTGTACTTATACAGATACCAATAATATAATAAGATTTCAATTAGAAATAGATGCAAAGCCACATTTCAAGTCATTTAGGAACCTATCTTTTTAACAGTTATGCTCTGTAGGAGATAAAATACAGTAGAAAAAAAAAAAATTCAATCCAGCTCATTGCTGACTGAACTGTTAAACATGCCACCCTCTCCAATCTTATGGCAAGGGAAAGAATCTAGGCTTTGCATGTCAAAACCAGTACAAGTCCTTGATACAAAGCCTGCATCACTATTAATGCTGGAAATTTACTATTCTGGTTTCTTCATCTGTACAGAGTTACAGTTTGCTGGATGCTCCAAGAAGAATGCCCAGTCCCTTGTCACCAGATAACTTTTCTGAACTTTTTTCCTTGTCATCTTTGGACCTCTCCAACATCATTCTTAAAGGTATTTCATGGTAGGAAATTGACTTTACCTAGTTGGGGTCTTTGTAACTTAAGAGCTGTAGCGTAGCAGCTAGCTCCAGTACTTTCCTTGCATTGCTATCTAACAATCCATGGTTGTGGAAAAGATGCCCAGTGACTTAAGAGACTTCAGATTAACTCCAGAGTTCTGCATGCAAAATCTCTTGCTTGCAAAACTCCTTGCTCATCCAAAACCAAGTAGAAAATAGGGCAATAAATATGTGGCGTTAGAAGGAACACTTAGCATGTAGATTGAGCTGAATATTTGTTTGTTTATTGCCTTGCAGGGAAATGCTGATAAGGCTCACTATCTGCATCTCATGGTCCGCGTGCTGCAACCATTGCTGAAGAATAGACAGAGAACAGACAGTAAAAGTCTTCAAACGTATTATAGCTTGAAGTGACTGTTGAAAATCTCTCCTCAGTACCCAGGATTAAAGAGTAAACCAAAAAATAGGCAAAACCCTCAAGCCAGATTTCAACAGTATTAGGCATTCAGTGTTAGATGCTCCAGTAAATTAATGGGTCTTAATTTTCCCACACAGCTGAGCACTTGTACTCTTCTGAAGTCCATTTGAATTGTAGGTGTTCTACATTCTGAAGCTCTGACAATTTTTTAATGCAGGTGCGTAGTTTAAAAAAAAAAATAAAAAACAGCTTCCATTCAGAGCCCAGTCTTGAGGGTTTCAGTGCAAGATTAGTCTCTACAGTCCAAACTTAATGTTTAGATGTGTGAAAATCTCAGAAAATATGCAATTTTAAATATGAGCTAGGGGAACTCAGAATCTGATGGGCTATATTTCATATTCTCTGCAGTCTGGCTCTGAATTTGTCCAGGATTGGAGTTGTCACACTTTAAGGCAGTCCTATTGGAAAAAAAATCCCTCCAAAATAAAACATACCCCCACACTGTTACTGAGCATGTTTTTTCAACAAAAATTGAGCTCTTTATTTATGCAATCAGAATTTATTACCGGTAATGGATTGTAGGTGAAGTCTGGGACAGAAAGTGTTTTGAATCAGTTCTTCTCACTCTGAGTGATCAAACAGAAGAACATACCTCTATAAGATTAAAGTATATAACAACACTTTACAAGGATCATCTTTTATACCAAGCAATTTTGCAATTTAGAAGGATAACAAGGAGCTTGAATTATTCTGTGCTGTCAGATATCCAAATATTCAGTAGAACTCTTATAAATTAGGTAATCATTGTAAAAAAAAAATTACCTTCCCAGACTTAGTATCACTTTAATTTCTGATTGTGAATTAGCTGGTTTCTATGAAACTTCCCTGTTTGCTACATATGGAGCAATCTACATTTACGTAACCTACAAAATGACTGATCCAGCAATCAACTCACATACATACCTCCCGTTGAAGTAAATGGGAGATTTTTCATGTGCAACCATTGCAGGATTCAGTATTAAGTACTCAGCTTGTTTGGGGAATATTTTTTTAATGAACCCTTTGCATTTTCTTCTTGTAAAAAAGGTTACTTTCCTCTTCTTGGATATCCTTAAGTGTTAAGCTCCAAGAGCTATGTTGCACAACATGAATTAAGTTTTACTGAAAAATGACAGTGTTTAAGTTAACTCCACTGGGATTTGGGTCACATCCTATGTTTCTTATGCCCTGAACAGCTAAACAGTACTCTTCTGCATTTCTCTAGACTGAACAAGATGTGATAATTCAAAATTTTAAAATATTAAAATAAAATTGTTATTCACATGATGAGTTGTATAACACTACAGAATAGTCATCCACCTCCTTCCACAGGTGTCCCTCATGTTTTAATCATGTGAAGTCTTTTCTTCTTCCCTTTTTGTCACAGGTTTTACTTGAAAATACAAATACTTTCCTCTCTGATGATTTTTCTCTCCCCTCCCATCACCACTCATTTGTCCTTCATGTTTGCATTTTAACTCACATCTGTGCTCACAGAACTGTTTATTCATTTGAAGACAATTAATGAGAATCTTCTAGGTTACTCAGCTTCCATTCATGTGATTGAAGGATTGGATCCAACACCCATTGAAATGTTCCTTATTTTCAGTGAAAACTGACCAAGAAATTCTGCATCACATACAGAATCAAGAATGAAGCAGTATGGTGAACAAGTAGAGAAGTGCATCAATAAGCCTTCTCAGTGAAGAAAAATGAATTTCCTCACAGGATATCTTAAAAAAAGTGTAGAAAACTATCATATAAGAAAGCAATGTTAATCAAGTACTTTTAGTCACACAGAAAATGTTCAGGTGAAAGGACAGGAACATTAAGCTATTAGTATGTATCCTTTATTCAATATACTCAAAGCTGAACTAGCTTGTAAAGTATATTCTACAACAGTTATACATTAATCGCATTGACATTACTAAGTATGCTTTACATTGTTTCATTGTTCCTTCCCGTCAAATAAATATATTACTTCATGCAGTATGTAACTTCTTGATTTTTATGTACTGGTATAGCCAACCACACTCACAACAGAAGTGACTATCATGAAAAGAGCAAATTAAGCAGACTTTAAAAGCTGACACAGACCTAAGGGGGTTTTGTTGTTGTTTTGGTTTTTGGGAGTACAGTGGTGCCTGTGCAGAGGCACCAGTGTTACCATAAAAAGTTGGGGGGAAGGTGATTTATTGAAAAAAATAAAAATTAAAAAAACTACTCCTTTTCAAGGCACATTCATTAGCCCACTACCTCCAACTAGGAGCTAAACAATTATTCTTTCAAAGAACTACAAAACTAATTCTCAAAGTTTTTTCAGCACTAAAGTTTTTTGCCTACAACTAACTAATCTCAAACTGGAAAAAACAATCCATGGACCTAAGGAGATTAAACAATATAAGAGTTTGCTGGAAAAGCTGTAGCTTTTCAGCCATACATAGTGGCTAACTGCACAAACTATTCTATACCATAAGAAAATAAGAGAGGCTTTTGAATAGGAACTACTGTAAGACTTTTTCTAATTTTTGTTTGCTTGTTTATGTGAACAAAGGGACCTGTTAGCACTTAGAAAGAGGCTTTGCAAGTACTGCATAGTCCCTTCTCCTAGTGTGCTTGCTACTGCAAGTGATACAGCAGCTGGGCTGGGAAAAAAAAAAAAAGATTCAAGTGAGTTCTGGTGAGAGATTTTCTAGGCCAGTGTAAGTTAACAATGTGGGCAGTGCCACACTGAAATTAACTCCGACCTATATGTATAACACTGGATAGGCCTAGTGATCTTGATGGTTCAGATTAAATGCTTTTGCTTCACTTCTCTTCGTGAAAGGAAATCCTCCCCTGGCAAGGCAGCTCTTTAACCTAGGCCTGTTACTAATTCAGTCACTAACAGTCTCAAAAAAAAAAAAAAAGGCAGCATTTACTGCATCATTAGCTTTCCTTCCTTCCCCCCCCCCCCCCACATGCTACAAGTCTGCCCACAGATATCTTTAGACAGACCCAGCTCAAACCTGCTCAGTTAGCTGTGGTAATAGGATCTTAGCAGAAGATTTTACAATACTCAGAATTAACTCAATAGCTTTGCCCACAATCGTTTTTAAACTGAAGTTTTAATATGTACCCATGAACACTGGGTTCATGGAACTGGCTGAATGACAGGGCCCAGAGAGTTCTGATCGGCGGGGCAGAGTCCAGTTGGAGGCCGGTAGCTAGCGGAGTTCCCCAGGGCTCGGTACTCGGCCCGGTCTTGTTCAACTTGTTCATCAATGACCTGGACGAGGGGATAGAGTGTACCCTCAGCATGACCTGCTCGATAGCAGCTCTGCTGAGAGGGGCCTGGGAGTCCTGGTGGACAATAAGCTGACCATGAGCCAGCAATGTGCCCTTGTTGCCAAGAAGGCCAATGGTATCCTGGGGTGCATTAAGAGGAGTGTGGCCAGCAGGTCGAGGGAGGTTCTCCTCCCCCTCTACTCTGCCCTGGTGAGACCCCACCTGGAGTACTGTGTCCAGTTCTGGGCTCCCCAGTTCAAGAAAGATGAGGAACTCCTAGAAAGAGTCCAGAGGAGAGCTACCAGAATGATAAAGGGACTGGAGCATCTCCCCTACGAGGAAAGGCTGAGAGAGTTGGGCTTGTTCAGCCTGAAGAAGAGAAGACTGAGAGGGGATCTCATCAATGCATACAAATATCTTAAGGGCGGAAGTCAAGAGGACGGAAGCAGTCTGTTTGCAGTGGTGTCCAACGACAGGACTAGGGGCAATGGATGCAAACTGAAACACGAGAGGTTTCAGTTGAATATGAGGAAGAACTTCTTCACTCTGAGGGTGGCAGAGCACTGGAACAGGCTGCCCAGGGAGGTTGTGGAGTCTCCTTCTCTGGAGATATTCAAAGCCCGCCTGGATGAAGTCCTGTGTAACATGCTCTAGGTGAGCCTGCTTTAGCAGGGGGGTTGGACTAGATGATCTCCTGAGGTCCCTTCCAACCCTTACGATTCTGTGATTCTGTGATTCTGTGATTCTGTGACACCAGCCTCTTCTAGAAGTACACCCGTGTTCCCACGAAATCCTTTTTCACATTAATTACAGAAATTGGCTTCCGTGTTCAGACCTGGTGCCAACAAGGTTTCAAGGTCACCGAAGTCCAAGGAGCAACCTCTTGACCTCAAGACATGTCCTGTGCTTTATTCACACAGGCCACTACCATGCCTGTAGCAGAGGGAGAGGAATTACCATCCTAGACTTGCAGCAGGGCATGGCAGCAGCATCCCCAGGACAAAATCCATCCAGCGCAGAGCAGAGGCCAGACCTATTCTAAGCTGCATTAACATTATCAACCTGGCTCAAAATTTGCAGTGGTGACAAATGGCATTGCAAAAGATGAAAAGATTAGGGAAGATATTTTATGGATTATCAAGAGACTGTGTGGCAGACATACGGAAGCTCTTCTAGGTGTTACATAAATTGAATGCATAGAAACAACACAAGAATGAGAGCACAGAGATTCTGGCCCAGATTTTCAGCGGCATAAAATTCTGCAGGCAGCAAGAGAACGAGTT